GTTATGATGAGATGCTCGGTGAAATATTCTGTGCAGTTCTTCTTGCTTCGCACTTTGTTCTTGTATATGCACTTTTCAAATTGAGTACACCGAACTTCTTGAATCCGTTACCTTGTAAATGTTGTTCAGTTTCTCAACGTACTACTCCTTTCTAAGGCTTCTTATTGTTCTTCTAATATCGTCAAGTCTTATCTAAATAGTTTAGATAGTAATGGATCGTTTGGCGGCTGTGCATTCAATGCACGGCTTTCTAATGATTCCAAGTAAAAAGAAAAGCTGTTCAAGACCACAGAGGTCACTTTCTTTAAATGGGAGACGAGGACTTGTCTCACCAGAACGATTTCCAGCTCGTGGAACCGTCTCTCCATTGCCAATTAGGGCCAGTAAGTGTAGCTGATTACAATAAGTAGCAAAATGTTTTCCTTCGTATTTTTGTTGAGCAAACGCGAGGTGTTACTATTCTTTGTTCACGATTAAGCTGACGTTTCGGCGGATTTCGCCTTCCTCAGAGCCTGGAAGGGTCAAGTTGACAGCAATCCACTCGGCCAGACGCCTCCATAACCAAACAAAGAAACTCCAAACCAAAATTTCAATCACTTTGAACACAGCTTTGCACACTCACCGCTTTCTATGAGGTTTCCACTAAGTATGTCACGTAGAGACCAACTGCACAGAAATCACGTGAAGTATAATGTGCCCCTCACATCAGAAAAGCAGTTTTATATACTGCCCTATATCACGCGTGATAATGAGGCATTCTTCCCTGCGGTTCATTTTCGGATTTCTGGAATTAATCCAGAATGCCTCCAGAGTTTTTCGCGCCTGTGTTCTTGATTCGCGTGTGAGGATCGTGACACATACTTCGAAGTCGTCCCCGTTATGTCTCTGGGTCCTATGCGTGCCTAACGGGGTATTTGGTCTATTTTTGCAGGCTAGGTGCTCTTTCATGCGGACACAAAGGGGTCTACCCGTTTCGCCAATGTATTCGTCACCACACGTCTTACAGGAGATCAGATAAACTATACCCGAGCTCATGCAATCACCGTCTCTACCACTGGGGCAAATTATGCAATTTTGAGTTGCACATAGACGGTCATATAGGCGGTTACGAAGTAGCTGGCGCTTAAGATTACTCGGTGGTATTTCAACTACGCTCACCGAATTCTCTAAGCCCGCCCTTCTTAAGCAGCGTTTTATAGCTGTACTTATATCATTTGAGATGAAGGGTAGGATAAACGGGACCCTTCTATCGCTAGAGTTGTCGTTTGGAGGCCTACGATTTCGTCTACACCTATTCTGAGCTACAGTTTCGTAGCCATAAGAAACGGCTATTTGCCGTGCCAAGTTCCGGGACTCCTCTCTCTGCTCTCTTCCCGTGCACACGTTGGTTGCTGTTCGAAACATGTTTCTTATAAGCGCCCTTTTCGTGTGAAAGGAGTGAGAGGAGAGGTAATGAACCAAGATATTTTTACTACTTGGCTTTCGGTATTTATAGCAATGTGCTATAAATTTAAGTAGGAAACGAACAAAAAAAATGCAAACTAAACCTGGATATGAGACATATATAATTCATGCGTATAGGGTCAAACTAGTCTGAATTCCTCACTTTGACTCATTCTTCTCATTTAATTTCACTCTGACCCATACACCTTTTGGTGTGCTTTTTGTAACCATTTTGCAGCTTAGCCGATAAGGAACTCGATACAGGTGGACGGGAAAAGCCCGATTCTGCACGTAAGAATATACAAAAGCATGTTTTTGGACGAATTCACTCGACGGATTTGAATCAGTGTTCGGTGCTCACAGGCAGAAGTAAAGTGTAGAAGTGAATAAAAATTAGGTGTTGAAATAATTTTTTAACAGTATCGAGGAAGTCCACATTCCTTCATTCATGTGTTGTTCTATGTTTCAACGCAAAGCACATTCACTTAGGTGTACAAATTCTGCTATTATAATAAGAACTCTTTTATAGTTGTCCACTTTTCTTGTTTTGTTCTTCGAGGAATTCGTAAGTCTTTTGCGGAGGCGAGTAACGAAGTAGTAGCGGTGCCGTTCATCATGTGCACGGTACTTCTTCAACCCCGCACTGGGCTCACCAAGCTCTTCATTATCTTGGGGTCTGGAGGTGCGTACCGGACATGCCCGGAAACGGTTGACTCTCTGAAATCCCAACAAGCACGCTCATTCACGAATGTTCTAGGATTCCAGGGAGAATCGATTCAACCACCATTCAACGACTTTCATAAAGAAAACGACAATCCTCAACTAGCAGCCGAACCCACACGTGAAAAGTTCGGAGCGCTTCGTGAATAAAACTGATATAAGGAAATGAATCAAGTGAAAAAAATAGCTGGGATCAGTACAGTAGAAACGAAGATGGGTCATGCAAAAAAAATTTACCTACCTAGGTTTTTCCCTTCAAATTTATAATTTCTATCGCTTAACATTTCGCTGTTTTCGATGTAAAAATAACTAATTAGTGATTCTTATAATAATAAGCACTAGCTACATCTAACGATACTACTACTTAAAGAACTAACCCTTTAGAGCGAATACGGCTAAAGTTGCGTAGCGAGTCTTTAGCTGCAAAATGACATGCATACGTGGTAAAAAAAACATTGTACTTATTGAAGTTGGGTTGAATTTTCCGGATAATTCTTTCGTAAAAAGTACATAGCTCTGCCCCGATAGCAGAGTTTTTAGCTTCTGCCAAAGATAGTCATCACCTTAGAATGATTTATTTCCCGGCCATATTGATATCAGGCGAATAAGCCACAGTTCTTATGAAGTGCTCAATAAATTCATAGTAGTCATTGTCTATCTGTTCGTTACCGAAGTTCCTCTCGTCGGTGACAATAAGTTTTGTGAAGGTATGGAAGGTTTTTTCAAGAGCCCTATAATGTTTTAGCAACTTTAGTGGTTTGCTCGATATTCTTGCACAGTAAAGCTTCTAGAGATTCCGCTTCTCCAACGATGTGTAATAGACAAAGGGCTGAGTTTTCTATCCAGTTCCCATTGTTTTTTCTATTCCTTTCTTAATAAAGAGGCAAGCTAGTAAATTATTGTAACAACCGAACGAATATCGGCCCCAGATGTAATGTTCTGATGGATTTCGAAACCTATAGAGTCTGAAACTGTTATAGTTAATTGCAACCTACATGTAGAAAAATCAGTATCCATGTATATCTATCGTATCTCAAGCAAGTGGTTAGTTCATAATTCGACTGTTGGACTTGCATTTTGCTGAAATCAAGTTTAGCTCTTAGGTATTTCCATAGTAGCGCTTCTTCTCCTACTCCATATTTTCGAATTCTGCGTTCCGCTTGAAGACCCCCAGCACTACGCTTTTAGTACGATGAAGTCTTATAGCACGATTTCACTTCCTCACTCAGTTCAATTCTCAAGTTGGACGAAGAAAAAGCGGTGATCTTTTTTCTGTCAGCACATTTGTCACAAAATAAGGTAGACAGCACCTTCCGAACTTACTAAGACCGCATCTCTATCATTGGGATAGATGTAGTGGTACCGTAGAAATGTTCTTTCGGAATTAAGATGTCCTATTTAGGGTGCTGTAGTTTTTCAAGTGAAAAAACCTTGTTCAAGTTTCACATCTAATAGAGTTTCTGAGCTCAACATCTCTATATCCAATGCTGGATTTCTAGTGATATTTCTATTATATCATAGAAGTCCGGAATCTCTTTCTAAGAATTTTTAATTGGCACCCACCATTATCCACTCATCCACTCCACCCATCCACCATTAATGATTTCTCCGTACATTTTTATCCCTCGGTCACCTATAATAAACTCCATATATATGCAACCATCACTTTGCATCTTTTATTCATCTCCGTCTTCCTCTTATTCAAGTCATTTAGAAAAAGATACCTTGCAGATGATTCTAACACCATAGTCAAGCAAAACAAATAACTCTTGTTGGTAATTTAGATTATTATTCTATATAATCCGGTTGCTTCCTATAGTATGTATTTCCCTGCGAATATTGTCCTGAATAAACGGCTTCATAGTTATGGCTTCAAGTCTAGGAATCTAAGAAATGTCTTCTCATAAGGAATTCTTCTAGGTTACTGGTACAAATTATTGTGTAGAAAAAAGTAGGAGCCATTTATGAGCTGGGTATGAAACGGTTCATATCATTGATTGAAAAGTGTGCAAAAGAGAGACACGTCAAGCAAAAGAAAGCAATCCACGTGTCCTATAACGAATGGTTTAGTCCACTTAGTAAAAGATTCTGGAGGTATTTTAAGGTATGGAAACTTCTTGAAAATACCTTAATTTGCTATACTCATTACGTGCATCTATTTCAGGGAATTCTTTAAAGAAGCTCCATGACATGACCTTAGTGTTGCAGGTGGTTTTTTTTGCACTATTAGGCTTTCTTTTCTGGATTATGTGTGTTAAGCAAAAGTTTAATGATCACAATAAAAGTGCATAAAGTTCGTGTGAAGCAGCCCAGATTCGTAGCTGTACGAAAAAAAGATTATTCCATAATGAATAGTGTAGCCCTCCAAACGGCTCACAGCCTCATCATGGCTGGAAAGTGTTCCTGGGTGTTGGGCTGCGATGTACAGCGGTGGAAATCGTCCCTTTAACATGGTCTACCAAACCGAGAAGGAAACCAGCATTTCCATCAGGAAGCCCAGCTAAGAGTACACCAATACCAGGATCCACCACCGTCCTGGTGTGAAACTAGTCGCATGGTGGCAAATCTCCCTCTGTTCCACAAAGACGGGCGACTGGCCGTGGTGCTGAAGACCTGGGACAGACTTTGGCCAGGCCGACCTCGGGACTCCAGGGAACCACAATGGCTAGACCAGCAAAACTCCGAAAAAACAGAAGTTATGCTGAGGACCTCACAACCAGTGAAGACAGGCCATCTAAATATCCAAATAAGTAAGATTAGTTTAACTTCACGGAAATGTTTTGGAAAAAAAATGTTGTAACTGCAGTAAATAATACCAAACTAAATCTTTCCAGGTTATGGACTATGATCGCTTCACCTCTGACGACCCAATCGGAGAAATAATACTTCCAATGAAGAATGTCAAATTTGCAAACAGTCCAGTTTACTGGAAACACTTACAACGTCCCACCGTGTCGAGGGTAAAGTTTTAACTATGATAGGCTCTCCTTCCACACCTTAACTCGTTTATTTTATTCAAAACGACACTCTCTATTCACCGTAATTCAATGCAATCAATTTACTTTTCTAACACTAAAAGCATAGCATAACTGAGTGTTATTAGTATTTTAGGAACAATGCGGTGAATTGATGCTGTCCTTGTGTTATCTTCCCGATGTGAGTAAGATTACCGTAAGTGTGATAAAGGCGCGAGATTTGAAGGCAAAGGACAAAATGGGAAGCTCTGGTAAGTGAATGTTTCTTGAAATTATATCATCATGTGAGTATATTATACCTGACATAAGAAAACTTATTCACTGTTGTCTAAGTCGTCGTTAAAATGGCTACTCATTATATGAATATTTTTGAAAAAATAATAGGCAATATACCTTGTGTGCCTCGAGAGACCTCGTGCATTCAACTCCACCCACAGCAACGTAGAAGTGACTGAATGGGTATTTTGGCCTAAACAATCACATAGCGATGTATCAAGGCAGTGTTATTAGTCTTCACATAAATTTGGTCCCAATTTGTCGACTATAGAGGGATGAAGGTGCCGATTAGCACCATGTGCGGGAACGAACTAACACCCCAATGGCACACTTAACTATTGCGTTCTACGCCCATATTTTTAGAATATACAAAAATCGGTGATAGAGGCCGAGTCTCGCCTATATTTAAAGCTTATTTTAAAATCATTTGCGGCTCAGTCCATTTACTAGATACTCTTCTTATCAGTTTTTTCTCTTCCTGACTACTTTTATCGATGTGAACTGAGTGTTAATAAAAATAGCTAATGATAGCATTAGCAATAATGATGAAAGTGACAATTATAATAACATGATATAAAATAACTAAACCTAGTAGAAAATCAAACAGGTGCAGATTAGTATCCGCCCTTTCGAAGAACCGTAACGCAATTAAATATCGAGCAGCGCAGATTAAAGTGAAACCGAACTTTTTAGGGCTTCTCAAAATTTGTTCCCAAAAGAGTTTACCACTTCAGATCCATACGTGAAGCTATGGTTAGTACAACAAGGTAATAAACTGGAAAAGCATAAGACGATGGTGAAATCTCAAACGCTGGCGCCAGTTTTCAACGAGTCGTTCGCATTCACGGTTCCAGAAAAAGAAGTCCTTGAAAAGCACGTAAACCTTGTGGTGACGGTGAGCACAGCAAACTTCTCCTCTGTGCGTTTACTAACATTACAAGAAAATTTTCTAGCATTTTTCAATGCTCTTTCATATGCTCCTCGATTAAATTCCAGTTTATTATTGCTCATTATTCATCAATTGTCGAAGGAATTTCACGGCTACTCAAACAACCGAATTCGCATACGCTCACACATCTATCCTTTCAGTATATGTTCTCCACATTCGAACACTCAATGTTGCTGTTTTCANTAAGGCTTATTTTAAAATCATTTGCGGCTCAGTCCATTTACTAGATACTCTTCTTTCAAACAGGTGCAGATTAGTATCCGCCCTTTCGAAGAACCGTAACGCAATTAAATATCGAGCAGCGCAGATTAAAGTGAAACCGAACTTTTAGGGCTTCTCAAAATTTTTTCCCAAAAGAGTTTACCACTTCAGATGCATACGTGAAGCTATGGTTAGTACAACAAGGTAATAAACTGGAAAAGCATAAGACGATGGTGAAATCTCAAACGCTGGCGCCAGTCTTCAACGAGTCGTTCGCATTCACGGTTCCAGAAAAAGAAGTCCTTGAAAAGCACGTAAACCTTGTGGTGACGGTGAGCACAGCAAACTTCTCCTCTGTGCGTTTACTAACATTACAAGAAAATTTTCTAGCATTTTTCAATGCTCTTTCATATGCTCCTCGATTAAATTCCCGTTTATTATTGCTCATTATTCATCAATTGTCGAAGGAATTTCACGGCTACTCAAACAACCGAATTCGCATACGCTCACACATCTATCCTTTCAGTATATGTTCTCCACATTCGAACACTCAATGTTGCTGTTTTCATTTACAGCAAATATCTTGAACATACAAGCATGAAGATATGAAGACACGCCCACGTTTATTATGAAATGTCGATTAATTGAAATTCGACTTCACCTATATTTTAATCAAAGTACTCTGAGCATTATATATATATATATATATATATATATATATATATATATATAGTGGAGCGTGCAATGGTTAGAGGAGCTCTGCAGGGCACGTAAGATCGACTCCACGTTCCAGACACACAAAGTCTTCTGTCATTTAGGGTTCGGAAAATTGGCATGGGACCTGTTCTGGAGAATAGTAACACTGGCTCGATACATTGGTAGGCCACTGCGAGTCATTTGTATGGGGCAGATATGCATTCAATCACCTCTTACGATGCGTAATGAAGTCGAATGCATGGCGCATCCCTCAGGGATTGATCAACGCCGACAGCTTACCCTTTTATCTTTTACAAATATATATATATATATATATATATATATATAGACGGGTAGTACAGTGGTAGTGACGCCGATAATCACGAGCACGGTTGTTTCGACCCCGCCCGGTACTCGGTACTGGTGACTCACCACTCTTCACACAGCGCTAGCATATCGCTACCAGTCTGGGGAATTCTTTTCGATCCACAAAGGCCGGCGACCGTCCCTATGGTGAAGGCCTGGGTTCGCTCTTATACTCAGCAATAATCATAATGAGCGCAAAGTTCTTAAGTAGCAGTTGGATCCATGCACAGATCTGAATACCGTCTCATGACGATGTAAGACAGCCGATACAGTGAAAGAAGTGTTGAGGCTCCCACACCTGAGGTCCAACCATGTACAAAAAAGCCTCATGTTGTCGAATATTCAGTTTGAAATATTTAACAGGTCCGACTATTTGGTGAACAACTAGAAGGAAGATTGAAATAAATTAATGGCTAGAAATATAAGCTTTTGAGAGTTATTGATCTATCAAATAAAAAGTATCACATTGTTCAGTTTGTAATTTCAAAACCGCTGATATAGTTAAACTTTTCAAATTCTCAACTTCTATCTATCGTTGTTATTATCGACAGTATTATGAACATTTTAACTAGCGCTATGATGTTAACATTACCTTCTAGGTCATGGACTACGATCTCTTGTCGAGTAACGACGAAATTGGCCACACTATCATTGGTCCATTGGGTGGCGAAGCTGGTGCGCGTCAATGGAAGGAGGTGATAGAACATCCAGAAACGCCACTCGCCGTATGGCATTACGAAGAATTACTCGTTTTCGATTGAGGGATGCATCAAATACGGTAGCCGGGTGTTATGGGATAATGATGTCACTCTAAGGGCTAGTTTGCGTAACTGAAAATTCTTCTGGAAAGGATAGAAAAGAGGTCATTTAGTCTATGACTAAAATGCCCTACTTCGTTATAATCTAGTTTTTTACCTTCGTTAAGCACCCTAAATATATGAAGGATGTCGCCTCCCTGTTCAGAAAATTATTCTTATCTGTTCGTCCTTGTTTTCACCCCTAGTTCTTTATGAATTAGATATTCTATAAACCACAGGGTTTTCCGTTAACTGGAATTTTTAGATTTAATAGTAGACGTATCCTGTGCTTCATTTGAGTCTGGCCCACTGAGTTTCGTGAGTGGCTCCTTTTTGAATCCATGACAATGCTATTATCGAAGTTTTGAGTAATTTTTAACAACGTTCATCGATTTTCTATTCTAACGATCCTTCCTTTCATTCAAAGCAAAAAAACAGCACAAAAAACTAACACAAAAGGGTAGAGCCCTTGGCATTGATAAGTCCCTAAGGGATCAGACATGCATTCGACTTCACTAAACATCGTTTGTAGGTAATTGAATGCATATCTGGCCTTTACATTGACTCGCGGTCGTCTACCGATGTATCGATTCGGTGCTATTATCTTCCCCAACAAATCTGGCACAATTTTTCGACCACGAAGGAATGGAGTGCTTGGTGATCCTGGTGCCCGGGAAACGATCCCATGTGTCTTTCAGGGTGCCTCCGACCCTTGCTCCACACGTGCCCCTAGAAGACCGTGTAAAGAGTGGTTTTGGAGGGCTTATAAAGGGCAGAGGACATGGAACATCCTTATAGTCCCTCTCTAGAAAAAACCAGTTTTGCAAGATGTGAAAAAAGTGCGGAAAGAAAGTCCAAAAGTCCAATAAATCCGATTTAATGTCCATTTTATTCTAATTAAATAACAGTTCAACGTACCTTTAAAGAGCGCATTAACCCCTGCTTTTCCATCTGCAATTCAATTGCCTTCGAAAAACACCCAATAATATGGACTTTCATGGCGACCATACTTTTATCACTAATACTTTAACCACAACGTTGCTGAGATATTTGCAAAACTCTGGACCGCAGGTGTCTATGGTGGGGAACGAATGCGCTATTATCCTTTCCGGGGAGTAACGTGTTCACCACCACACCATGCGGGTCTTTCGTTTCGCCTGTCTCTCAGCTATTTCTATCGATCTTTTTGCCACAGCAATCACCCGTCAGCGGGCTTGACCTGGGGAGTGCAAATCGGCATAGAACCCAGCTAAGCTATGGCTGTAGTTGAAATCACAATGTTTAACGTTTTGTTTTCTGCCTTGAGACACGGTGCATCGTCTGTTTCACATGTAAAAAGCCAGAATTATCCACTGCTAAAAAATGAAGCTTCTAAACCAATGGAGTGGTTCAGGAAGACAAGAAGTGACAAGAATTTTATCTATTTTTTGGCATGAACACGCAAACTTCGTAAGCCTATCGCTTTGAAACAAAGATAAAATCACAACAAATCTGAAGGTCTGCGATTTCACGGAAGTTACTCATTTGCTAACACACCTGCTGTCCCTGGTGAACAACAGTGTTGCCCAACAGACGACCACTTTCTATTCTTAGTTCTTCCGACAATGTCGCTATCCTTTGAAAGCATTGTTGGAACAGAGACAGTGATCAAAAGGCTTTAAGAAGTAATAGAAGGAAAGAAATATGATTCCGTCGGATAAAATACGACTATGAAAAATATTGCACAAACACTAGGATTCTGATACCTAAACAGAACTCGGGACAGCAAGTGAGAGTGGAGCCAGGAAACCCAGGTAGTTGTGGCTTCGAAGCTCAGCTAAAGTTCTGGGTTTTGCTGATGTCTCGGCGCACTTGCAGTTGTAGTTGACACAGTACATGAGTTCAGGTACAATATACTTGGTCTCATTCCAGGCATGTGGTGAGGTCTACACAGGGGAAACGGATAGACCACTTTATGTCTGCATAAAAGAACATCTAAATGGAAAAGCTAATTTCTTCGTATTCTTGTTGAGCAAACGCGAGATGTTATTTCTATTCTTTATTCACGAGCAAGCTGGCGTTTCGGCGGATTTCGCCTTTCTCAGAGTTTGGAAAGGTCAAGTTGACAGCAATCTATCCGGCCAAACGTCTCCATAACCAAACAGAGGAAGTACTGAGCCAAAATTTCAATCACATTTAACACAGAGCCTTCGTGCACTCACCGCTTTCTATGAGTCTTCCACTGAGTATATCGCGTGAAGATCAACCGCACAGAATTCACATGGAAGCGTAATGTGCCGCTCCCATTGGAATAATAGGTTTATATTCTGTCCAATATCATGCGTGATAATGAGGCTTCTTTCCTGCGGTTCATTTCCGGATTTCTGGAATTAATCCAGAACGTCTCGAGAGTTTTGCGCGCTTGTGTTCTCGATTCCTGCGCGAGGATCGTAATCAATACTTCAAAATCTTCTCCGTTGTCTCTGCGTCCTATACGTGCCTAGTGGAGTATTTGCTTTGCGCTTTCCGATTAGGTGTTCTTTTATACGGACGCAGAGCGGTCTACTCCTTTCGCCAATGTATTCGCCCCCACGTTTTACAAGTGGTCAGATAAACTACACCCGTACTCAAGCAATCACCATCTCTAGCACGGAAGCAAATTGTACGACTTCGCATTGCACAAAGACGGTCATGCAGACAGTTACAAACTAGCCGGCGTTTTAGAGCGCTTTGTGGTATTTCAATCTCTGTTAACGAATCTTTTAGACAGGCCCATCTTAAGCAACATTTTGTATCATCACTTGTTTTGTTTGAGATGAAGTGGAAGATAAACGAGACCATGTTATCGCTAGAGTTATCGTTTGTGGGCCTGGGTTTTCCTCTAAACCTATTGGAGCTGACGTTTCGTATTCATTGGAAATGGCTATTTGCCGTGGCAATTTTCGAGATTCCTTCATGTACCCCTTTCTTAAGCATGTGCTGGTAGCCGGTGGAAACACATTTCTTACAAACACCCTTTTTTTATGAGAGGGGTGAGAGGAGAAGTAATGGACCAGTGTGTTTTTACTACCTGGCTTTCGGTACGACTTCCTGATGTAGCCGTTTTCCGAAAGGTTAATTTTAACGTTCAGAAAGAAGAACCAGTTTTCTTTCAGCTCCTCCCAGGTGAACTTAATGTACTTCGACTGTTCATTCCATAACTCAAAACATTTGTCCATCTCTCCTCGCTTGGTGCAAATGACAAGGCAATCATCTCTATATCTACAGTAGAGTAATGGGGAGATCGATAAGTGCTGCTTCCACCGTAGACATAAATGCAATTGCATGGCTTGGCGTCAGCCGCTGTTCCATTGCCAACTCTCTCATTTGAGCGTAGTGTTTTCTAGACCATCATAAGATTGAGCAGTTTAAGCAGTTTTTTCAAAGATTTTCACCAAGCTCTTTATCGTGAAGCCTTGTATGTTTATTGGTCCTTCATGTTGTATAAAGAGTTGGACGATAACTTGCATAGAGGAGTCATTCGATGCGTTTGTATAAATGCCGGTAACGTCGAAGAACTCCATCACGTACGCGATGTTAGGATTCGCGTTACGTAGCCGATTCAGAAACATCTGGATATTGGCAAGATGGACTGGAATGTGTTTTAACATCTTCCAGCAACAGCAGCAACAATACGCCGCGAAAGTTTCGAAATGAAGAATTCTAAATGTTTTAAAAACAACAACAACAACAACAACAACAACAACAACAACAACAACAACAACAACAACAACAACAACAACAACAACAACAACAACAACTCTAGCACTAACAGATGGCGTAGAATGTTTTTATAGGTGCAGAGGAAAACCCAGGCTCTCAAACAATAACTCTAGCAAAAACAAAGTCTCGTTTATCCTGCTCGTCGTCTCAAACGGAATATGTGAAATTATAAAACGTTGCTTAGGAAGGGTCAATCTGGAGAGTTCGGCATAAGTGGCTGAAATATCACCGAGCACTCTAATAGGCTAGCTAGTTCGCAAGCACCTGATTGACCGTCTATGTACACCGCAGAATTGCGCTATACACTATGACCCAACTGCAGAGAAGGTTATCGTATGAGGCCGGGTACAGGTTATCCGCTCACTCGTAAAGCGTTCCGGGACGAATACATTGAAAAAATGGGTAGATCGCTCTGCGCCCGTAAAATGGAACACGTGGTTGGCAAACTAAAAATTGAACTATATTATTATCTATATGATAATAATTATGATGATTATTATTAGATATTATGATCCTCCGCCAGAAATCGAAAACACCAACACGCAAAACTCTCAAGCCACTCTGCATAAATTCCAGGAATCCGAAGATGAACAGCAGCAAGGAATGTCCCATAATCACGCGTAATATCACTCAGTATTTAAAAATGTTCACATAACAACTGTTCATTAAAATTCTTAACAAGAATAATGATGCTTATGGAGTCCCTCAAGCGAATAGAATCCATTGGTCTATTCTCGCATGGATCAAGGATAAATACAGATTTTATTGTTTCGCATTTCGGCCAATCAGCAATCAGTGGCAGCGTAAGACAAAGGTGATATAGAAATGTGAACACCTATCTTGATATAATACCTTTTAGAACAGGCAGTGATCTAGCTTAATCGCATTGCCAACTATTTTTGGGCCAAGATTAGTGACTACTGCTTTTTTACGTTTACTGAATCTGTTTGTCAACTTCGTGTAAGCTCAACAATTTGAACGAATTTAAATAGAAGGGATAGAACTTCTATAATGCTGAGATATTTGCAGAACTCCGTACCGCAGGTGTGTGCGGTTGGGAACGAACGCGTTATTGTCCCTTCCGGAGAGTAACGCGTTCACCACCACACCATGCGGGTCCTTCGTTTCGCCTGTCTCTCAGCTAACCCTATCGATTTTGCTATCGGTAATCACTCGTCAACGGGATTAATCTGAGAAGCCCAAATAGGCATTGGACCCAGTCA